ATATATATATATAAGTTTGGAGTTTTTTTACATTAAAAATTATGTTTTTGAAAGAAGTTTGCTCGCAAGGGCTGCATTTATTTGATAAAAAACAGTAAAACGGTAATATTGTGAAATATTACAGTTTAAAATATATATTTTCCATTTTAATACATTTTAAAATGTATTCCTGTGATGCAAAGCTGAATTTTTTTACTTAATTACTTTTTTGCTCAAGAAGCATTTCTTATGATCAATGTTGAAAGCAGTTGTTCTGCTTAATAATTTGAGTGAAAACCGTGATACATTTTCTTTCAGTACTCTGATGAATAGAGTTCAAAAGCATTTATTTGAATTTAATCTGTCCTTGCTGAATAGAAGTTTTAATTTCCGGACTTTTGGACAGTAGCATAAGTAGGCACAGTATCAATTTTCACAGTATCAATTACTGTAATTCAGTCAACTTTAGTTTACAATTCTATATAGCCATGATAAGGAATCCTCTGTTGAGTGTTTACTTGCTGGTTTGTCTTATCAGTTGAACATAAAGTGTTGTCTGCTGTGCTCTGTCCATCTGATACATTTGCTTTTTCTTTCTCTTCACAGAGAGTATATTAATGGAAAAAGGTAAGACACAATCAATGAAATATAAACCCAGATCTCAAAGAAATGGCAGTGAGCATGTTGTTTTTATTGCATGACTATAAAGATTGCTGTCACCATAGGAATAAATCAAATGTGTGACCATGTAGCCTGATAGTGTTGTGATATGATATTAATCATGTTAACAGATTAACATGTATGTGATTTGATTTGAATGTTTTAGATCATCATGCTGTTGCCTTTTAGTGTGAAATCATTGATGCTCAGCGCTCTGTATGTTGTAGCTGTGTGACAGACACGCGGGTTCCTCTAAAGATCATGACTCCAGTCGTCATCACGGTCTTTGTGCTGGCGCTCTACCTTCATGCACAGCAGGTGGAGTCTACAGCCAGACTGGATTTTCTCTGGAAGTTACAGGTCTGTTTATCTTTGTATGACTTTGCAATAATGCAGATATTTTGTGAAAAGCTGTTAAATATGTATTGCCGTCCATCAAATATTCAAAAGTCTGGGGTCTGTAATTTTTAAAGGAGCAAGGATATATATATATATAATTTTGGAAAAGTGACTATATAGACGTATACATGGGTGTACAGCAGTACCAAGTAGCACTAAATCAGCATATTAGAATGATTAATGAAGGATCATGTGACACTGAAGACTGGAGTAATGACTGCTGAAAATTCAGCTTTGAACTCAAATACATATCTATGTTCATATAGATATATTAGTCATTTTAAATTGTAATAGTATTACACAATATTACTGTTTTTACTGCATTTATGCTAAGATAAATGTAGCCTTAGTGAGCATAGGAGACTTCATTAAAAACAATCTCACCAACCCCAACACTTTATGGTTTCAACGTTTGAATTTATGTAATGTTTACATATATTGCTGTCAGCAGTAAAGCCACATATTGATCCAGTTTGGCTTTCAGTGTTGCAGCATTTATCAAGTTGTTTGTTCTACCTTTCTGTTGTTTGTAGCATCATCCTCTATTTTTGTTGTATTCACAGGCCACAGAGGAGAAGGAGGAGATGGAGGAACTTCAGGCCTATAACCGTCGGCTTCTCCACAACATCTTGCCCAAAGATGTGGCTGCACACTTTCTGGCACGCGAGCGGCGGAATGACGAGCTGTATTATCAGTCGTGCGAATGTGTGGCTGTCATGTTTGCCTCTATCAGCAACTTCTCTGAGTTCTACGTGGAACTGGAGGCCAATAATGAAGGTGTGGAGTGCTTGAGACTACTCAACGAGATCATCGCTGACTTTGATGAGGTACAGCGATTTCTTACAAACCTCCAGACTGTTGCGAAGCTTTTAAGCTACTTTGGAGTGTGATACTGTAAAATTGACTAACTTTCTTGCATTTCATTTTCTAAACCTTATTTGCAAAAGCTGCATTTGGTGTTGAAAAGACTATAATTCATGAAAATAACAATAAAACAAAACAAAAATAAATAAAAACAATAATCAGTTTAAAGTAATTTATATTTAAATGTGTTCTTTGTAAAATCTGTATATATGTGCGTGTATTGTGTTATTTATTAGTAAATAAATGGAAAACGGCCCTTATTTTTTAAACTAGATTTATACAGTATTTTAGTTCTTGCATGAAAGATATTTTAATTTATTTTGCAACAGATGGTCTTTATTTCAAATTAAAGCAGTGTGTGTGTAAAGCCTACATCTTCAAATCTTTCTAAACTGATTGTATTCTTAGAAATGTAGAAGTTTAATGCCTTCTCATTTCTAGATGAAAGTCATCATCACCTTATTTCACTTTTCTTGCAGATCATTAGTGAGGATCAGTTTCGTCAACTAGAAAAGATCAAAACCATTGGCAGCACCTATATGGTCGCGTCTGGGCTTAATGACTCCACTTATGATAAAGCAGGAAGGTCGCACATTCGCGCTCTAGCCGACTACGCTATGCGCCTCATGGACCAGATGAAATACATCAATGAGCACTCTTTCAATAACTTCAAAATGAAGATCGGTAAGGATTTGGCTTAGCCACACTTACATTTCCACCAATCACCTCCCTTATCTATAATTTTCATTTGTCATTTTATGAAATGGTCCCTTTACCCTTTCAGAAAGGCATTCTGTAGGATTTAAACTCTCTGTCAGACAAAGACTTTCATAGAATGACCCATATATTTTACTGTTGTAAAATGAAAAGTATGTTGTCAAGAGAGCTCATGAATTACCTTGTACTGTAGGTCTCAATATAGGTCCCGTCGTGGCTGGTGTCATAGGGGCTCGTAAACCGCAATATGACATATGGGGGAATACTGTGAATGTAGCCAGCCGTATGGACAGCACTGGGGTACCTGAGAGAATACAGGTGAAATGCAGTTTTGATCCTTTATGTACTGTAGGGTCTAAAAGATTGAGTCCACACTGAAAATCTGTCATTCAAAATTAAACCTGGAAATAAATACAGTTTTATGGTGTTGAAAATGTTTAAACAAAGAAACATCATGTGACATGATTAACAAATATTTAATGTTGCTGCTATTTTGTGGTTTATTTAAATTTTCACTTAAATTGTTATTAATAACAATAATAAGCCCTACATCTTGAAACAAAAAGTCTGCTTATTTGCAGTTAAAGGCTTAATATTACCTAATTTGATGATGTTGAGTTAAAAAATATAATAATAAAAAAATAAACTTTCCACCACATACAGTTTTTTCACAAATTAAAAATGAGGATTTTTCAAATTGTGTGTGCGTATATATATATATATATATATATA